TCCAACTTAAAAATATAAAAAATATAAAAAAATTATAAATCCTGTACAAGTGTGTTCTGCTAGTGTTATTCTATTGTTCTGGTTTATTTATTTGAATTACTTTGAATGCATGATTATGTCATATGATTTAAAAGCATGATTTTTGGTTACCGAAACGGTTATGTATTTTAACAAATTGGACCATTGTTTTTTCTTAAAATACATGCATATTTACTTTTATTGTTCTAGGAATGATTATTATACGAGAGATTTATTTTAAGGACAATCTATATTAAACTAGTACTTTTTTACGGTATGTAACTCTGCTTTATGCTGAGGATAATTTCTTATTGTAGATCCTTATACTATATAAAGAAAGTAATTCCTAACTAGGCGTACAGATGTGTATAATGTTTTGAAAAACCTACACATTTCTTATTATTGGATGAGGATAGTGTTTATGTTTTTACAATTTATATTTTAAATGAATTTTCGTTGTATTTTTAAACTCTTAATGATTCATTACACTTTAATTAGTTTATTGGCTTTCTAACTCATCCTATACTTTTACCTTTTTAAATGTTACTGGATAGTAAATTTTAGACTTGGCATTTAGAGGATCAATCGTTTCCCCTTAGTAATCTATTTGCCACTTTTTTATTTTGGTAAAAAATGTACTACTAGATAATATATTTATATATTACTTCAGATATATCTTATATAATGGATATTTTATACATGATATTTATAAAAAAATTCTAATACATATATATATATATATATATATATATATTATTTTATTGATAAATAAATATTACTCAATTAATTTTTATATGTGACTGACAAGATCTGTAACATCTTAAATGAATATATGAGACTACATATACATTGAAAATCACCTCTTGTTAGTATTGTTATCATTGTGAAAGAGTTTGATATTAAACTTATTATATTACTTAAACTTGATTCAATATCAGCTTCAGGATATACTGTGTTCAGTTTCAGCTTCTCATACCCAGTGGTTAAAAATATTAAAATAAATAAATAATAAAAGTGCACGCCAATTAAACCATGTTTAGGGCCAACTAAAATCGACTTCAACGGATAAAAAATCATTTAGTAGAGTCACGTCAAGTGCCACTTTAGTTCTAACACGTCATACTTGGAACACAAGGAACCTAAATGATCAAACTTTCCTACCCTACTATACCTCATCAAAGAATACGCTTGCTAACTTGATGTCAAAAAATGACCAAATTGAACCAATATAACTAGCTCAAATTATACAGACCAAGGAACTAAATCCAAGCCTAGAAGCAAAGCGTTCCTTCCGTCTCAAGATAATGACTGTTCTGCTTTCACTTCTTTCAGATCTTGTGATACCTCCCTGACAAATTACAAATTACAAATTACAAAACAAAAAAGTAAAAATAAAAAACTGAGAAGACAATCAGATGCACGGGGTTGCCTATTAATAATGGAATTTGATCTCATGAAATAGTGATGGTAAAAGAATACCTTGTACAAAAGCATTTACTTTCAACTATGGTTAATGAATTAAATCTTGGGCAAGAAATGGTTGATCTATAGTACAGCCAGTCAAAAGACAAACCCTTACATCATATCAACATCTGTTGTATGTTGTTTAACATCAGAACTGGAGAATCTGTGTAGAGGTTTCTCATCATCTTCAGGGTCTGACTCATAATCAACCCCATTCCACATGCGAGGTTTTGGTCTTTCATCCATGTCCTCCTCTGCCTACAGCCAAAAGAATCTTCCATATAAGATACAAAACAGAGATAATCAAGTAATTGTTGTTGGCAACAAACCTCCTCAGGTGGTTGGATGGTTGAAGGTGTAGTTTGAAAAGGAACACTGGGTGCATGAGACAGTCTGGAAAGCTGCTCTAATAGCATGTTCCTGAAAAAGAACAAATTAACATTCGATTAGAACAAGGTTACAAGAGTGAGGAAAGATTTATGGACATACTAAACTAATTACTCAATAAGCAAGCACAAGGTTTGGTTAATCCTTGTTTTTTATATAAAAATAATAATAATTTCCGATCTTACCTTATCTTCTCCATATCTCTAGGTGCATTCAGGTTCTCCATGCTTCCCACTTCAACATGAAGTGTATAATCTGGACCAAAATACTCATAATATTCATTATAAGGCAGCTTATTATCAGGCTCAACCCCAACTGCAACAGCTGTCTGAGATGAAGATAAAAAAACAATTTAGAGGAACACTATTTCATCAGCAATGATATTTACAACATTTCACTAAAACTGTGTGAGAGAGAGAGACCTCATAGCACCAGCATCGGGCAACATTGCGGATAGTATACCCTCCCCCACCCAAGACCATTAGAGGAACATTGAAAGATCTAAGAAACCGCAGACAATCTGCATGACCCTTCACAGACAAGTTAAAGCAACCCAATCTGTCACCAGACAATGAATCTGCTCCACATTGGAGAACAACTGCATCTGGCTGATACACTTCCATGACCTTTTGGATTACAGGACGAAACAAACCCCGGAAATTCTCATCATCCATCCCATCATTCAAGGGAACATTCAAAGCATAGTATTTGCCATTACCCACCCCAACATCCCTGATGTGTCCAGTCCCAGGGAAGAAATCCCCAAATTTATGGAAAGACACGGTCATAACTCTGTCAGTGGTGTAAAATGCCTCTTCTACACCATCACCATGATGGACATCAATATCTACATACAGTACACGCTGCAAAAGGACATTGAACTCCAGTATTTAAATGCAAGTCCATTAAGAACATCATCAAAACTCTGGCATTTGTGGAAAATAAACATAATGAAGGTACAAAATTCTGCTCTTAAAGTTGAAGTATTCCTTTGGATCAGTTATGGAAGAAATTTACATAAATAAGTTACAATTCCGTTCTTGCATAATAGGAAATATGTTCTATAAACAAATTGAGCGGCTAGATAAGAACAACAGTACAATCAAAGTGGAACAATAAAAACACAGTATTATGTGTTTGCATTTGGCAAGACATTGAAGCTTTTTGTGTTTGCACTTCCATCACAGAATTCAGCTATTATTTCAGTGAGAAGTGCCAATATTCCCTTGAGAAAACACAACTCAACAGTATAATATAACCCAAAAAGACAGTCAACTGCCAAAATCACAGTGAAAACCTGGATTACTTCCAGGAAAACATGTCATGCAAATCAGACAATAGCATGTAGATTAAATTTACTAGAAATAATAACATGAGTACCAAATTGATCAATAAAAGAAAAGAAGCCAAAATTTATCAAATTTGTATGGTCCCCATCGCACCTACATAACCACCTGATGACTTGTAATAGTGGAGGGATCCTAGTCAAAGAAACTTCTTTCTAACCAGGTGAGGAGAAAGTTGTTGCATAAACTGTAAGGTGATACCAGTAATGTAGCTACATAACATCAACTTCTGGTTTTGGATGTTCATTTTAGAAAGACATATCCCAGACCCTTGAATCAAATGGTGGAGCATGATGGGTTGGCATGAGCATTTTTTTATACACTAATTGGAAAGATAAGGTCAACCTAGTGTGCTTTGGAATAAGATAAGACAATTTTATTAGATAAGTGGCTAACGATGACTCACGTGACTTTAGCAAAGGATGCCAAGAAAGCAATAAGGGAGATTAGATCAGAAGTCTATAAATATATATTTGATAAATTGAACTCAAAAGTCGAACATGATGATATTTATAAGCTTGCTCAGATGAGGGAGCAGAAGGCTAGATATGTTGGAACTTGTCAGAATCAGCCTTATAGAAGTCTCATTTGTTTAGGAATATTTTATAATAAGAAAGGATATGTCTTAGGACTCTTTGTAATCTCTATCCATAGATAGAATTTTATCTTTACCATAAATATCCTATTAGAAGTCAGCAACTCAGTATATTTAAACTATTTTAATATCCTAATTCAATAATAAGATTTCTCTTGCATTACTTCTTTTTTCTTTGCCTCTCATTCAATTTATTTTATTAGGTTATAACATGGTATTAGTTTAGGTTTTATTCGTTGGTAGAAAATTCTTTTTCATCCATTAAAACATGTCGGAAATACTAGGAGAATAACCAGCCCTATCACACATGAATCTACCGTCGACAATTTTGCTATTACAACAGGTGAGTTGCAAAAATTTCACCCAGCCTATAGATTAGAAGGGAATAACAACTTAAAGTGGTCCTAGTTGGTTTGTACCTTTTACAAAGGCAGAGGGAAAATAAGCCACTTACTAGGAAAAGGTCCTTCACATGGAGATCCCAAATTTGCAGCTTGGGATGAACAAGACTTACTGGTAATGTTCTGGTGGTGGAACTCGATACTACCAGAGATCAGTGACACTTGCATGTTTCTTGGGACTGCTAGAGATATTTGGGAGGTTGTTCGACAAACAGACTCTAAGGTCAACTGATGCTGCACAAATCTATGTGATTAAGAACAAAATCTCATCCACCAAACAAGGGTTATAGCAGGAGTTGGATCATTATCAAGGCATCCAGATGGGTTATAGCGATGATGCAGCAACTCTAAAGCGGTTTGTGGAGAAAAACTGTGTCTATGAGTTTCTTATAGGTTTGAATGTTAACTTTGATGTTGTGCGAGTGCAGATTTTGGGCATAAAAAACCTTTCATCCTTGAATAAAACAAATTCTATTATAAATGCAGAAGAAGGCCGTCAAGGTGCTTAAATCGCAGGAGGAGATGGTTCTACATTTGTTACAAAATCCATTATCCACCCCCTACATACACTCGAGAAGGCTTTATCTGAACATAAATCGTGATTCTCTATTTTGCACATATTGTAAAAAGCCACATCACACAAAGGAGCAATGCTGAAATCTTCATGAAAAGTCAATTGACAAACCTGCTCGAGGTATAAATGAACATAGTCAAGCACATCTGATAAGCTCTTTGTCGACTGATACAAAAAAGAAGTCCTCTCCTACGTTTAACGTTAAGGATATTAAGAAACTAAAATACTTGTTGGGATCTCTTGCTAAGTCCTCTTCGTTAGGCACTTGTTCATTGATGTTTTAAGGTATTTCCTTTACCTCTTATTCTATTGTCTCATAAAGAGTCTCTCCTCTCACAAAGGTGCTAGATTTTGGAGCCACTGACCACATGACCTATTCCTGTAAACACTGTCCCACTTACACTCCAATCAATAGCCATTACAAGATTACCATAGCTGGTGGAACTGTTACCACTATAGCTAGGAAAGGGGACATTTATCTTACTAAAGACCTTGTACTAAAAAAATATTCTACATGTTCCGAATCTCTTTGCCAACCTTATCTCTATTCATAAGTGTTAAAAAAGGCGCAAGGCTCATAGGGGTTTTATAGCCAAGGCAGAAGGCGCGCACCTTATTGAAGTGAGGCGCACATTTAAAAAAATAAAAAATATACAAGTTTTTTCCAGTTGTATAATCAAACAAAAAGAATAGTTCATGCAATATAAATAGCAAAGAATATTCATTATCAACATTTTATGTATTAAACATCACTTTTGTTTCATTAACCATTGAACCTTGGGAACCCAAGCAAAACCTCCCTTCCTTCCTTGGTCCACAATTCCACATAAGAAACTGAAACAATAAATAAAAGTCTAATAATGAGTTGGCGTCAACTTCTTACTTGTCTCCTTTTTTCCCTTCCACCTCGCACATCTCAACAAACGTGTTTTCCTCCTTGTTAACACCACCTACACCCTAAATCCCTCATCTATCCACCCTATTCCTCCATTTTAGTATGTCTAAATTGTGTTTCCAAGATTTTCTTTCTTTCTCATGGATTCAAATTTCACCATGTGCTAAATGTGTTGCTCAAGAACCTATTACTATGCAACGAAACTCATTACAACCTATCTTTTCCTCCCTTGATTTTCAATTCATGCATTCATGCCTCTCTCATTTTGCCTGCTCAGTCGGTTATCTTTTTTAAGACCAAAAATAGCCTCTATTCATCCCCCTTTGTTTCTCTCTTTCATACAAATAGTAATTATATAAGGTAAAACACCCCCTTTTATCTGTATTTCAAGCCAAATTTTCATGTGTCTTCCATGAAACTCTCTTTTCTAATCACCCCCACCATATTTTTCTCTTTTCTTCATTGACATTTCATTTTTACTTCTTTTTTGTTGTTGATATATAAGTTAGTGTGCAAAAAAAAAAAAAAAAAAAAAAAAAAAAAATTGAAAAGGCGGCACCTTTCTGCGCCTAGTGCGCCTTAGGCATGCCTTGCTGCACTTCATTGAAAGCGCCTTGCCTAGACCTAATTAGGCGCTTCACCCTCGCCTCGCCTTAGCGCCTAGGCACACCTTTTTATATACTGATTCATAAATTAACCACCAATTTGAATTGCAGTGTAACCTTTTTCTTTTGCATTGTATTTTTCAGGAAATACACAAAGAGGACAATTGGACCTACTAATCAAAAAGATGGTCTGGAGAAGTTCCCATATCTACATCATTTCTTTCTAAGTCTATTACGTCAAACCAGAATAAAATATGGCTTCAAAATCATCGTTTAGATCATCCTTCTTTTAGGTTATGTTCCCTTCTTCATTTAAAAGTATTGTTGTACAAAATGTAAGTGGGCCAAACACAAACATATTTCTTTTCCTAAAAGAAATAAAAAAGTTATTGTTCCTTTTACTCTAATTCCTAAAAGAAACATATTTGGAGTTCATCTACCATTCGAGATGTTTTTGGTGCCCAGTTATTTGTCTTTTATAGATGATTGTACACATTCCACATGAATTTATCTCCTCTAAATTTGATGTCGACATCTTTCCTAACTTGTATAAATATAGTTCATACTCAATTTTTTGTAAAATTAATAGATTTAGGCCAGACAATGCAAAAGTTCTCTTAATCAAAATTTTCCAATTTTTTCAAGGATAATTATTCATGAATCTTCATGTGTTACCGTTCCAAAACAAAATAGGGTAGTTAAATGTAACAATTTTAGTCTTTTAGAAGTCACTAGAGCCTTGTTATTTCACAAATATGTTCCTAAAAACTACTACGGAGAACATGTCTTAACCGCTGCCCACCTTATTAATAGGCTTCCCACACGTGTTGACATGCAAAGTCCAATTGATATCCTCAAGTTTTTTTCTTAACTTCTCTGCCTCGCATAATTTAATTCCTCGTGTTTTTTTGTTATTGTGTTTGTTCATGTTCGTTCTCATCTTAGGGAAACGTTAGATATCCATGCTATATTCAATTTCATTGGCTACTCATCTACACAAATTATAAATGTTATCACCCACCTTTCAAAAAAAATTGTTAGTGCTAATGTTATGTTTATTGAACATAATTATTTTTTCACTCTAATTATCTTCAAAGGGAGACTTTGATTGAATGTAATATTATGAATACATCTTTGGCTTGTCCTAGTTATTTTTCTAAATCTACATCATTACAGTTAACGCCTATTCTTGAGTTTGCTCTTGAATCCATTCCTGATTCAGTTATCGAGCATGTTCTTTATAAGCCCATTACTTCACCAAATAAGTCATTTATGATGAAAAATATAGAAAATCAACATAATGTTCAACTGCGGGATCATTCCAGGAAAAAGACACCAATTTCTCTACTAGTACATGTACAATCTCTCATTTGTACCATTTCTTACTCACCAAAAATTGTTTTCAAACAGTTACATTCACCTACTCATGATCACTTACCTAAAATCAACTCCAAGCCAAATGATGAGCCAGTTGAACCAAAAAACTGAGAACTCAAATATTGAAGACTTATGAATTGCCCTCAAGAAGGGAACAAGAACTTGTTCTAAACATCCCTTATACGTTTTCATGTCCAACAGAAACTTATCTCAAAACCATAAAGTTTTCCTAACCAATCTCCATACAATAATCATACCAAAAATCTAACTGAGACATTGAGTAGTAAAAAGGTGAAAGGCTGCTATGAAGGCAAAAATGAAAACCCTTGAAAAGAACAGAACATGAGAAATAATTGAACTACCAAGTAGGAAGAAAACAATGGGATGTAGATGAGTGTTCTTTTTAAAATATAAGGCGGATGGCACAATTGAAAGATACAAAGCAAGGCTTGTGGCCAAAGGATGCACCCAAACCTACGACATGGATTATGACATTTGTTCCAGTAGCAAAAATGAAAACCAAGAATTCCTTTATCTTTGACATCTAATTTTGAGTGGGATCTACAACAATTTGATGTTAAGAATGCATTCCTCCATGGTGATCTTAAAGAGAAAATTTACATGGAAATTCCTCCTGTTTTGAATCTAAGCAGGAAATGGTGCGTAGATTGAAGAAAGCACTTTACGAGCTCAAATAGTCTCCACGGGCCTGGTTTGGGAGGTTTGCCAAAACAATGATTTCACTAGGATATAAGCAAAGTCAAGGTGATCATACCTTGTCCATAAAGCATTCAAACTCTAGAAAGGTTACAACATTTTTAGTATATGTAGATGACATTATAGTTAGGGGTAATGACATTGAAGGAAAGAAGAACTTGAAAGAATGTTTTTGAAAGAATTTAACATCAAAGAGCTAGGAAAGTTGAAATACTTCATAGGAATTAAGGTGGTCCGTTTGAAGCAAGAAATCTTCATCTCTCAACAGAAATATTTGCCTGACTTATTGAAAGAAACAAAAAATGGGTTGCAAACCAGTTGAGACCCACTCGAACGTAATTATGGGTTATGTGATGCACCCAAAAAAAACCTATAATGTAACACCCCAATTTAGGGGCTAAATTTAAGAAATTATAAAGTGATGAATTTAATTGGTATTTTTGGAAGGAATCGGGTATTAAATTATAAGATTTCAAAGTTAGCAGACCGTTTTATGAAGTGCATAAAGTTCAGTGGCTAAACTCTTGGTTTACCCATTGTTGATATATGTTGAATTATAAATCTCTTCTCCCCGTGCGCAGATGCATATTTTCCAGTTTTCCCCTCTCCAACAACCCAGCTTCCAACTCCGATCTACTCGCCGCCCGACCTCCGATCGACGAGCCGAAACCACCATCGTGTTCGTTGTCAACCGAGGAACAAAACCCCTCAAACCTTTCATCGTGAATCATCTCCGTTCGTCGTTAATTTCAGTCGGAAGTATCGTCGGTAATAACTCGGTTTTAGTTGGTTTTTCACCGATTCACAACGATCAGGTCATCCGTTTACGACACCTCCCGCACCATCGTGTTCCTTATGCCGTTCCGAGTCCACCGGTGTCCTCCCTTTTCTCCGGCGGCGGCGGCGCGTGTGGAGGTGAAGCGGTTAAAGTTTTCGATTTGTTGAAATCGAGCTCTCCGTCGTTCAAAATTGTGAACCGAGCTTTGTAAGTATCTCGAAATCGCTCAAAATAATTTTTAGAAATTTTTCCGGGATTTTATCACTGTTCACGCGCCCCCACGCGCCGCCACTGCGCGTGGGGAAGACAAAAGTGACCGGTTTGACCGGTTTTAGTGGATAGTTGACCGGTTTGACCGGTCATAACCCGACCCGACCCGACCCGTTGACCCGTTGACCGTTGACACGTTGACCGTTGACCCGTTGACCGTTGACCCACGTTGACCATTGTTGACCAAAACTTTGACCGGCTTTGATCGAGCATTAAACGACCTTTGACTTCGACCGAGTATACCTATCCTGACATTTTTCGACGTTCCAAATCCGATTCCGCTGTCCGTTTTTCGAAATTCAAACCCGAAGACCTTTAAATTGCCGGTCAAACCCGTTGACTTTGATTTTGACCGAATATTCCAAATTTCCGAAAAGTCATATTTTATGCTTTCGACGTCCTGAATCCGAATCCGAAGTCCGTTTCGCCAAATTCGAACCCGGTAAGCCGTCTTTCACCGATTTATCACCCAATTCGATCCGTTTATCGTAATTAAGCTTCGTTTCTGATATAATTTATGTTGATATGTATCTGAGGAATTATTGGAAGTTGAATTGAAGATCAAAGGCGTTCGAATGGAATTTT